ACCTGTTTTATCCTTCTCCTGGTGGCCTAGAGCTGTATGGAGAACCAAGGCACACCGCCTACCGCTCAAGATCAGATCTGGACTGCCCTAGGTCTCCTTTACCATTTCAGAATAGGTAAGAATTGGATGAAACTTGCTCAGAGTAGTTAAAGGTACAGATACTTAATAAAGGACAGTGCTAGGGCTTTGACTTCTTTCATCAAACTAATTAAGTATCTTCAGGTATATGGGATATACATAACTGGTTTCCACGGGTATAAGAAACAGTTGATCAAGTGTTACTTAGTAAATGTTATAGTTTAGGCATTGGGAAAAATATTCATTAAAATTGATAGTCTCTGGACATTATGAAAAAACTCAAGTCTGCATGACAGGATGCATTTATGTAAAATGCAGCATTTATTGAGGACCTCTGTGACAGGCGTCGTACTGGACATTCTCATGATGACTCAGTAGCTGCTGCTTTGAATTTATTGAGGAATTGTTACCGTTCTACAACACAAACTCAAATGTATGGGGGATACAGACCAGGCAGTGTACTGGTGGTCGACCTTTTGAGGGCAGGGTGGAGGGCGGAGTAGGTAAGTTAACTTGCCTTGTTTCTGGACAATTTGGATTCATGTTTATATTTTTAATACCATAGGTACCCAGGCCCTTCAGCCGACTTAAATCCTGCTTCCTTGGCATGTTCTCAGCTTCAGAACTATGACCCTGACAGGGCCCTGACGGATTACATCACCCGGCTGGAGGCACTGCAGAGACGGCTTGGCACTGTGCAGTCAGGTACTCTTGGCTTGGCCGTCGGCACACTGCCAGTGTCTTAGGTAGACCCACAGCTAGCTCCCTTTTTTTTGAAACTCCTTGACCTTCCTCATTCCGGTAATCAAATCCTATAGGTCAGTGCCTGAATTACCAGGTGAGACTTAGCAATTTAAGACAAGACATGATTAATCACCCCAGATCCCACTCCTCCCCAAAAAGATTCCCTGCTGTCTTCACTCAGCAGATTGATAAGCAGATGGAAATACACAATGAGGCCCTGGTCGGGTAGGTCACGTGGTTAGAGTGGTGCCCCAGTGCACCAAGGTTGTGGGTTTAATGCTCTATCAGGGCAGGGCGCACACAAGCAGCCAAGGAATATGTAAATAAGTAAAACAACAAATTCATGTTTCTTTCTCTCAGTAAATTCTTAAAAATAAAATCTGTTCAACTATGAAGACTTTTTAGGAAAATAAAAAGCATTATTTTTATATGGAGGGTAATAGTAATTTGTCCCTTCATGAACTAGTTGGTGTGGTATAGGTAACAATCTAATTTGAAATCATTTAAATATCCTGGTTTTCTCTCATAGGTTCAACTCATTTTCATGCTGGCATGAGAAGATAATCCTTTGAAATCGAAGTGATTTTAAACAAATTCCCTTTTGTAAACCAATGGTTCTTTTGTGCTTTTGTACCGTGGACATTCAATGGGACCAACATGAACACAGCTTACGATTGTACACAAATCCCTTGCCAGCACATGAAAACAAACTGGAGTTTGTACATAGAAGCATTGTGTATGTATTCATGCACAATAGTCCTTAAATTACATGTGTATTTGTGGAATGCTAATTTAAATGGTTAAATTATAAACCTGGTGTATTTATCAAATGGGTGAAAAGATTAAACTTTTGCGCATTATGACACTGCTGAATGTGTGGCTTGAGGTGTCCTGCACTTTTCTTACGAGGCTACTGAAGTTACCTGTTTCTGCCTAATATATTTGCTACTGGTGATGATGACAGATATCACTTGTAGAGACCTATTTTTGTATAATGGTAGAAGTTTTGACTTTTATGGGGTATTTTGTCAAGTACTGAAATAAAAATGACTTCACCATTTTAACCACACTGTATTGGAACCCTCTTCATTTTTAACTATGCCATAGTTCCTGGTGCATGTCTTAGTCCATTCTGGCTGCGCTAACAGACCACCACAGACTGGTTGCCTTACGAACAACAGTTTATTTTTTTCACAGTCCTAGAGGCAGGGAGGTCCAAGGTCAAGGTACCAGCAGACTGGTGACCAATGAGCCCTGCTTCCTTGTTAATAGCCTGCCATCTTCTTGCTGTGTCCTCATAGGACAGAAGGGGCCAGGAGCTATGAAGTTTCTCTTATAAGGGCACTAATCCTATTCGTGGGAGCTCCCCCCAGAAGTCCCTGAAAAAGCCCTGCTTCTGAATACCAACAAATTGGAGGCTACAGTAGGTTTCAACATAGGAATGGGGGGAGGGGTACACAAATACTCCGCAGTCTCATCACTTATCTATTTAGGACTTTGAGGTTCAGAAAGTTGTCCTAATCTACTAGATGCCATTGGGATTTTTCTCCTTCCATTGAGGAAGAATTGTCCATTTGCCTTTGTATCAACTTTACATATATGTAAAGTATTTGTTTAAAGCTATTGACACATTGGTACTTTTGTGATTAATCCTTATTTGCTCTATTTCATGTTACCTCACAAAGCCATGTCCACTAAGATGATGCAGAACTCATTTAACTCAAATAACTTTAAATTTTATTAACCACAGTACAGTAAACAGTATTTCTCCTGAGCTAGATCCAGATTGGGAATCCCTCCCAGCGGTAAAATAAACCGGTGTCATCTTGGAGTCCTCCCTGATAACCCAGCAGTGCACTGAATCAGCAATAGTAATAGTAGTTGATGCTTATAACCAGATTTTTGCCTTATTGTTGGCTGTATTCTCTGATTTATACCAACACAAAATAGGCTATGGAAATGAACTGTACATTCTTGAAGATTTCATAGTACCTAAATTTTCCGTGAGCAGCTGGGCTCCAGTAAGAATAACAAATGTATTCTGAAGCAGATAGTTGAAGGTGAGGGTGTGGGCAACACCTTTCACAGTCACCAGTCAAGGCTCTTTACCCTGAGCGAGAAGGAAGAGATGGCCCAGTGCTCTGCCCGATCCCCGTTCACTCCATGTTTGACTGTCAGCCTTTCTGACATTAGGCCTCTGCCACCAACTTGTTAATGCCTATCAGTTCTTAATCTATGATTAAAAACCACACCTTTTGACTTTAAAAGCTCTTAGCTCTCAAAAATAAAGTATTCGCGCTAAACATAAACTAGGCTTTCCTCAGGGTTTCAGCTGTATTTGTGCCATGAATCTCTCCTTGCTTGTGAAACTATTCTCAGAATAATGCTTTTTAGACCTAAAATATGGGGCCAGCACAAATAACACCCCTTTTTATTACAAAATCTTTTATTACAAAATCATAAGCATGTAATTCTGGAACATAACAATATCATAAGCACAGTATGACATTTTAGGTGAAATGTTCAAATTCAAACCATAAATTACTAACACCCATATTACCCTCCAACCACACTCAAGCAGGCATTTTCTTCTGCCAGACCCTGTATATAGCACGGTAAAGGGAATCGATTATATGGAAAGTCAAATTTTAAAAATGCCTGTGATATAACATGTAAGTTTAGAGAAATAAGATCTAGCAGATCTAACAATGACCATAATTTCAAAGTAGTGATGAGAGCAAAAGGTACTTCAAGATCTATAACATCTGTAAAGTGATAGGAAAATACCTGTGATTTCTGTTCACGATCATGGGCGCTGTTAATACTAGTGTGGTTTGTTGCCTAACTTCGTAAAGGAAATACTAAATTACAATTTGAAAGTAGTACAAATAAGGATGGAAGTTTTTCCCATCCAAGTTTCTAGATTCCTGAATTGGACTCACTAAAGCGCACATGCTTCACAGTTCATGAATACAGACTATGTTTTTCTCCAAGATAATTTTAATGTGAAAACCTCTGAACAACAGAGACAGCATTGAACATGAGTCCTCCAGCCTCCTAAACAGAACTGCCATACACACAAGGGAAAATAGTTTGGCCTCACTTAGTAAAAACAGACTGTGTAGTCCAATTCCAGATAAAAGACAGGCCTACAGTTACCATTTGAGTTGATTCCTGAACACAGCCCTCACAGTCACAGATAGGACCAGTGACACTGCTCAGCCCTCACAGTCACAGACAGGACCAGTGACACTGTCTCAAGGGCCCTGCTTAACGTTATCCTTTTGTTAAAGGCACAATTCTCTGATCACAAATTTTGTATTTAAAAGAAGCTTGTTGACCTAAATTAAGTTTTAATAAACAGAACTAGTAACAGAAACCTCCTAAATAGATTCTGGAGAAGTAGGGAACCTACCTGGAGCCAAAGAGAACAAAAACTATCTCTTAGGGACTTTATTTTGGGTTTTCACAGAGATGTCACCATGTGAGACCAGAAACAAATGTATCAGGTAAAGTATTTAGTAATTCCATCAAGTTAATGCAGGCAGTCTTTGGAATTAATACTTAAATTTTTTAGGAAATGCACGTCATTGTTATAGATATCTCCCAGTTTCCTGTAGATAGTACCTCCCTAAGGACATATTTTCCTACATTATAGCTCTGTTGCTGCTATGATCCTAGAACAGTTAATAGGATTCTCTTTCACCCAAGGCTCTAAATGTTTATTCCCTAACCGCCATTCCTCTCATATACACACATTACCCATTAAATGAATAAATAACCTAAGCCTTCCAAGGATCTCATTGGGCTTTTATATTTGCAGATCTAGTCCAAAATTTGAATACCCTGAACTTACTTGCCAAGAGCTAACCATGCTCTTGAAATTAATACCTAGAAATTGCGTTATTTAGAATCTGCCAATAACCAAGATTCCCCCTAAACAATTTATTTTTCAAGTACAGTTTTCTGCCTTTTACTCCCTTCCCAGCCTACCCCCCCAAACAATTTTTAATAATGAGCTTGATTCCCTTAAAGCATATGTAGTAAATACCCATCATAAAAGTACTAGAAAATGTCTGAAATACCATTAGATTTTATAGAACCATTCAGTTAAGAAAATGTAAAAACTGTTAAGCTTGCTGACTTTTAAAGTTACACACCAATAAAGTACACAGAGAGTTGTTTCATAAACTTCATTCTCTTCCAATGCTTTTGCTGTTTACAGTGACATTTTACGTTTTAGTTCCTTGCAGCATTCTTCACTTTGATCTTCGTTTGTATCGGATAACTGGTTTTTCAGGGGTGTGAATCATGGTTGTATAATTCACAGTGGGGAAATACCCATCAATGAGATCAAATTCATATAGACGAAGCATAGTGGACCAAATTGTCTTGATTTGCACATAGGCAAAATTCTCCCCAATACAACGATGACGCCCTGTAAAAAAAAAAGTTTTCATAAGAATCAGCTGGAATTCTTTTCTTTCAGCCTACAGTGATGAAGTTTGTTTAGCTACAGTTTAGGTGAAGAACAGATACACAGATGTTACAATAAAAAGACACTCTTTTCACATAAAACAAGAATATAAATAGTTAATAAAAAGCCCAGGATATTTTCAACATGTTTTTAGTGGAAACAGCATTGGGTTATTATAAATGATTTTTCCAATCACTTTTTTTGAAACTTAACATTTATCTAAGTTAAATACATGAAAGGTTTGAAATACATGATGCTAATCTAGTTTCCCAATATACTAGAATATTCTTACCTTCTCTCCCAAGACAGCACTAATTAAAATTCAATATAAAACTTCCAGTCAATGCCATTACAAATGATAGTGGAATACAATGTCATTTAATAAACCCAGAATGGAAACAGATCAAAATTTGAAAGGTCATATGCAGACAAAAACCAACAAGCTGATTCTAAAATGAATATGGAAATGCAACGGACCTAGGCTATCCAAAAACGATCTTGAAAAAAAACCAAGTTGGAGCACTTAAACTGACTTCAAATCTGACTTCAGTACTAAACATACAACTGTGATACTGTTAATGTGTAGTGAGAAATATATTTGGTCTTACCTGCGATGTTGGCACAAAGCTCCTCCCACCCTTGGAACTTCTTAAGTGAAAAGAGGTGACTTCAGGAAAGCCCCTCAGGAAGGAGGAGGGAGAGGAGCTGGAGGCTGAATAACTCACAGATGACCAGTGATGTAATCATGCCTATGTGATGAAGCCTCCACAAAACTCCTTACAATGCAAGGGGTGTCGGAGAGTCTCCAGGCTGATGAACACGTGGAGGCACTGGGAGGGTGGTACACCCACAGCGGCCGTGGAAGCCTGTGCCCCTGGCCCTTTGCATCCCTTCAATCAATCAGGCTGCTCCTGAGTTGTATCTTTAGTTCAGTAAGTAAACTGTTTTCTGAGTTCTGTGAACCATTCTAACAAATTATGGAACCCCAAAGAGGGGAGTGAGAGAACCTCCTGATTTATATATAACTAGTTGGTCAGAACAGCAGGTGACAAGTGGACTTGCATCTGGTGTCTGAAGTCGGGGGAGGGAGTGGTCTTGTGAGACTCACCCTTTAACCAAAGGGGTCTGTGTTAACTTTGGGAAGAGAATGTCAGAATTGAACTGAATTGTAGGAACCCAGATAGTATCTACAGAGAACTGGAACTTTTGTAATAGGGACATTACAAAAATGTCCCTATTAGGAAAGGGAAAAATATCTGTAAATAAAATTAACTTGGCTTATCTTTGTTTGTTCTGATAACATCTGACTACTCAGAATATAAGCTCTTCTCAGAACAAACATTTCAAATGTAAATATATTCCTGGAAGATCGGGCTGGTTCAGGGTGGTATGGCCATAGACTAAATAAATACATTCATCTTACCAGCTCCAAATGGCACATAGGCAAACTTCTCTCCAGAGGCTGGACTGTCCCCTAAGTAGCGATCAGGCTTAAAGTCCAGGCGTTCATTCCATGAGTCTTTAAGCCTATGATTGACAGTGGGAGAGACACACACCTGATGTCCTGGAGGAATGGTATACCCTGCCACCACCTACAAATGAAAGCAAAAAGTTTCATTAATTTAAAAATATTCTACAAAATAATCAGGTCATTGTGTAATAAAGTAGTAATATATATCAGATATACATATAAAAACTAGATGATAATAGGCCAACAAAAAATTATTTAAGTCAAGATGATTTCCAAATGACCCAAAATTGGGCTACAAATATACACACAAATAAAAAATAATGCCTCAGAGGCAGGGGTGGGATTTCAAGGAGTCTTTCATAATCTTGTTTTTATACTTCCATACTTAAAAATTTTTACAACAAAATATTTTTTAATAAAAATAAATCTGTTTGAAAAACCATAATTATTGAATAAAAATGCAGGGAACAGATTACTGTGTATACTGTCTGCAATTATGTGAAAATATATCCTTAGAATATGTAAAATTTAAAATGAGGTAGAAGTGGTGGTTATTCTACTCTCTTAATTTCAAAAACTCTCTTTCTGGAAATCATCTTTATGCCAAATTAAAATTAGGGGCACACAAGACGAGATATGACTCAGAGACCCACCTGCGGAGTTTTGGCCATTCTCATCATAGTCATTATGGGGGGGCGAAGCCTTAATGTTTCTTTTATACAGCGATCGAGTAAATTTAGGTCCTTGAGCTAAAAAGAGAAAATACTCCCTGAGTTTTACAAATAGTTAACACATTTAAGCAGTATTTATTTAACTTAAATATTATTTTATAAAGTTTTATTTAATTTTAAGTTAAAATTATTTTTTCTGGGTTATTACAAAATAGCTTATATTCTGAGTAGAAGTGCAGAGGTCCCTGGTTCAACGTAGCTGGGATTATCTTGTTCCATCACTGTCCAAGGTCAATGAGGGAAAAGAGGGCAGAAGAACACGGAGGGAGGTGATCGCCCTGAAGAATGGCATAGTAAGGACCCACAAAAATTCATCTAAAATCAAAATAATAGCAAAAATCATCAGTGTCAGCTTTATAAAAACCTGTACACAAATGTTTAGAGCAGAATCACTGACAATAGCACCAAGAGGTAGAAACAACCCAAATGTCCACCAGCTATTGACTGGATGAACAAATGTGGTGTATCCAGATGATGGGCAGTTACTAGGCAATAAAAAAGACTGAAGTACTCATACAGACCACGACATGGATTAATGCTGAAAACACACTAAGTGAAAGAAGCCAGTCACAAAAGACCACATATCGTGTGAATGTGGTCACTTATAGGTAGGAAATGCCCCCCAAAAAGCAAATCCACAGAGACGAAGAGCAGATGAGCAGTGACCAGGGCCCTGGCGCGGGAAAACGGGGAGTGACTACCGACGCGCGTATTGGCTCACTTTTGGAAGTGACGTACATGTTCTAAAATTAAACTGGGGTGGTTTCACAACTGTGAATACACTTAAAAAACAGTAAACTGTATATTTTCAATGAATGGACTTTACAGTATGTGAATTATGTTATCAATTAAGCTATTATTTGAAAAGTTACTAAAATCAGAAATGAAAGAGGTGATATTACTACTTGAACTTACAGAAATAAAAGGTATAAGAGAATAACAATCATATGCCAACAAATTAGGTAATCTAGGTAAAACGGATAAATTCCTAGAAACACACAAGCTACCAAAACTGACTCAAAAAGAACATATGAATAAGGCTGTAACAAGTCAGAGACTGAAGTAGTAACCAGAAAACATCCCACAAAGAAAAACAGACACAGATGACTTCTCTGGGGAACTCTGTTAGACATGTCAGAAAGAATTACCACCAAGCCTTCTCAAACTCTTCCAAAAATAAAAAAGAACGGAATACTTCCAAACTCATATGAGATGTATATTACTCTGATACCAAACCTATCAAAGATACCACATTAAAATTACAGATCAATATTCCTCATAAACATAGGTGCAAAAATCCTCAACAAAATACTAGCAAACCAAATCCAGCATTAGGACATTTTAGCAAGGACTATGGGGAATTTTTTAAAAACAAGCTAATGAAATTAAGCTATAGTACACAGGAAATTTCAAATTATCCCCTTCATTTTTTAAATATTTTTTAAAAATTATTTTCATCCATCCCCACCCCCTCCTCTTTGGTAACCATCACCTTGCTCTCTGTTATCTGTGGGTCTGTTTACTTTGTTTATTCATTTGTTTTTTCAGATTCCAATATAAGTGAGATCAATCACACACTATCTTTCTCTGCCTGACATATTTCACCTAGCATAATACCCTCTGGGGCCATCAAATACCCATTTGTCACAAACTACAAGATTTCATCCTTTATTGCTGAGTAATATTCTATTGTGTGTGTATGTATCTCAAATCATCTTTGTTTTGTTTATCTATTGATAGATATCTAGGTTGCTTCCATATCTTGGCTATTATAAATAATTCTGTACTAAACATAGGGGTGCACATATCTTTTTGAATTAGTGTGTTTGTTTTCTTCAGATAAATACTCAGAGGTGGTACTGCTGAGTCATATGGCAGTTCCAGTCTTAACTGTTGAGGAACCCTCACACTGATTTCCACAGTGGCTATGCTAGTTACAGTCCCACCCACAGTGCATGAGGGTTCCCTTTTCCCCACATCCTCACCAGCACTTATTTCATCTAAATTCATCTAACGTAGGGATTACTTTTTTGACGATAGCCATTCTGACAGGTGTGAGGTCGTGTGTCTGTCGTTACGGTTTTGAGTTGCATTTCCCTGATGGTGGTGATGTTGAGCATCTCTTCATGTCTTGGTCACGTGTATATCCTCTTTGGAGGAATGTCTACTCAGGTCCTCTAGTCATATTTTAATCAGATTGTTTGGTTTTTTGGTGGTAAGTTGTATGAACTCCTTATAAACTGTGGATATTAACCCTTTATTGGATATATCATTTGCAAATACCTTCTGCCGTTCAGTAGGTTGTTTCTTCATTTTATTAAGGGTTTCCTTCACTGTGCAAAAACTTTTTAGTTTGTTGTATTATGTATACTTTTGCTTTCGCTGCTCAAGTTATCCCCTTTAAAATCAAGCCACAGATACTCTTAGATAAGGCAGGATTTAAATGAAAATCCAACCAACCTGGTCATATGTTAAAGGAGGCAGATTCTCTCCACAGACTGTTTTCTGTTCTAAATAACATTTTTCTTGAAGTGTCTTGTCTCTGGCAAGAAAGAAGCCCATCCAGGCACTGGTGGTCGAGGACGTGTGCTGCCCGGCCAGGAGCAGTCCGATCAGCATGCCTGCCACCTCGTCATCCGTCAGGGGACGCCCGTCCCTGCGGAATGAACCACACACACAAGGTTAACACTTCGGCAGATGCGTTTCATGCCTCAACCTTTAAATAAAGGGCGTAATGAATTAATGTTACAGGTATAACACCCTCCTGCATTTGCCCATTGGGGAAAAAGAGACAACCAGTAGAAAACAGGATTTTGAATACAAAAGACTTCATTGCAGTTTCCTAGCAAACTTTTCACCACGTGTAATCCCCGGGATGCCGGTGAGGTACCGGATCCCAGTAATTTACATCTCATCCGTTTAAGAAGTCCAAAGGTCACAGTTACTAATTTTGCCAGCACCATTCCTTTTTGGAGACAGTACTCAACTATGTTTTAATGTGTAATCTCAGCTTCATATGTGAACTGAACAGCTCTTACTTGTAAGTAGAATCTAGTAAAGTTTGGAGAATGTCATCAATTTTTTCTTCTGACTGTCTGCGTTTCCGGATTGCCTTATAAAAAATATTCTTCATCTCTCGATGAGCTCTGTCTCTGCGCCTGTAATTCAAAGATGAAAATACCTTCAACAATAAAGTCGTGTTTTCTGGCATTAAATCCCTTTTGAAAATAACCAGGACCTAGCTTAAAGCAATCTTATCTAACTAACGAATGACTCTAAAATAACTGACAGAACTCAGAAACCAGATGAAAAAAGATACCATGAAAATCACCTATTTTTAGGAATTTCTTGGGCCACTAAGGGCAAAAACTGTGTTTTAATATACAGATCCCCGATCCTTAGCACAGGCCTTTGATCTCACTACAGGTCTAAAACAAAACTCAGTAACAGAGTGTTGTGGAGAGCTCTGCCTGGTTTCAGGAATTGTAACTCGACCCCTTGTAGCTAAGGGCTAGCATGACCTCTGGAATGCTAGCAGCAGGAGACAAAGCTTGTCTCTGCCCCTAAAGCTTGGTCGGAAGTCAGAGACGGGTAAGACTCAATCACAAGGGAGGCCTTCACGGAGTGACTGGGGTTGGGGGGGAGGGGCTGCAACAAAGAGAGAGCAATGGATTCTCACCCCCGCACCCCCCCTTTGACACAGCCCGAGTCTGGGTCTGGGCTCCTCCGAGTCTCTTCTGGGAGAAGGACTTCCTGGCTCTAATCCCCTTAAGCCTGAATTCCTGTTGGGGAGAGGTGCAGCTCCTTGCCTTGCTAGAACCTGTCCTGGGGAAAAAAATCTGGCATCACAGATTTTGAACCTGTGAAATCTGCTCTGCTAAGAGTGCTTTCATTCATCTGTTAAGGATTTGAGCAGGAAACTAAAACTCTGCCTGACAGACTCTGACTCAGACTATCTACTGTTTGATCCTTGCTGCCCTGTATTCCTGTGTATTACAACCCAATAAAAACCTTCAGAGGAAGGGGCTCAAGGCCTCTTCCCCTGAGAAACTGGCCACTGCTCAAGGCCTTTTTCCTCTGGGAAACTGGCCCCCTCTCCTCCCCAAGCAGATCACATCATGTCTCAGTCACGTTTACTCTCATCTGTGGCAGCTGGAGGGGGCTTGCAAGGAAAGTCGCCCCCACAACACAACACTATGCTTTTTAGGTTAACACAAAATTCCAATTTTAACTAAATTAATTCTTAAAGCAGATGGAGAGTCACTCTGGTTCTTTTATAAGATCTAGGAAGTAAAGAAGCCTAGGATTTATTTTGAATTATTGAAATGTAAGATGCAGAACATGGCTACAGCATACAGGATTTGATCCTACTGTTCATTTCTGAGAAATCAAAGTTCTGTAGGGGTTAAAAATACTAATAAAATCAAAAAGCAAACTTCAACTCCCAAAAGTTTACCTTTAAAAGAGAGTGCTCACTAGTTAACAGGTACTGTGTTTTACATGAATTACCCACTTTGACCTCCTGTGAGGTAAAAGTTTTTATCCTCACTTCACAGCCAGCTCACAAGGGAACCAAAATTTAAAACCAGGCACTGTGACTCCCTTACCTCCCTCTTACTCAAGCCTCCTAATAAACAATTCCCACCTTGCTTCATTTTTAAGACTGTTACAGAAAATAACAGGGGCAGAAGGGAAGAGGAGATTGAAATTTAACAGTATGAACATAGCAGAGCTATGCTCTCAGGAAAACATAAAGCCTGTTTGAGAAAATGAATGGACCAATTTGCTTGATCGGTTGAATTAGGTAAGACAGAGAGAGACTGGGCTGGCAAGACTGGTGAAGGGCCTTATACCAAGCACAGGAATTTCTGACTCCATCTAGGAGAAAGGGAAGGTGGAAATAGGCTCCAGGCACATTCATGGAGAATCTACTCCAGGCCCAGAGCTGTGCTGGATATTCCAACATAACCCAGAGAAAAGCACTTGGAAAACTGCAAAGGTCCCTACAAATGTAAGATATTATGAATTCCAAATACTCAAGACCCCCGCCTGGCTTTCCCTTCTACTCCAACCCCTCTCCATTCTGTAAGGACACAAGTGGCAGACACAAAAGGGAAAGTAACAACTCCACTCTTCTCCATCTCTCATCTGAACAGAAAAGAATCAACAAAGGAACAGAAAGCCTATTAATATGCAAGGCCCTAAGCTGTACAGCAAGTTCTACAAGCAGTATTTCTTTGTGTCACAGAGGATCCCCACGATTTAGGTGATCACACTACAGTTGACAAGGAGACAAAGAGAAAACTGAAGAAAAGCATTAATACTTCAAACAAAAAAATTTCAGAATATACTACAAGACAGTCAAATGCTCTCAAACGAGTGCTTGTAGGGCCATATCACATTTCAGTAGAGTTTAGAGACTTTCCTAAGTAAAAGAATCCATCTGAGTTCTTTGACAGAGTTTAAAAAGTAGGTTTTAAAATATTGGAACAGAGAGACAACAAATTACCTTTCTAAGAAACTGAAACTTACCTTAAAATGAGCTCGTTATATAAAGAAAACCTGTCTTGAATTCTTATAAAAGAATGGGGGGCTCATAATCTCCCCAAATTCATTTGCTTAATATTTAGTTTTTTAAAAATTGTTTAAATTTTCAATTACAGTTGACATTCAATATTATATTAGTTTCAGGCATACAGCATAGTCATGACATATTTGTATACCACCTGGCACCAAACATAATTATAACAACATTATTGACTACCATATTCTTTGGACAATGAGACACACTTTTTGACCACATTTTTTGCTTCAAAGTTTTTTCCCCTATTTTCCTCCTGTAACACCTAGGTGTGTCTGGGGTCCTCACCATAAGACACACCTAGGTGTTACAAGAGGAAAATAGGAAAAAAAATTTTGAAGCAAAAAATGTGGTCAAAAAATGTGCTTTATCATCCAAAAAATATGGTATATTCCCTATGCTGTACTACATCATGCTATGACTATTTTGTAACTCCCAATTTACACTTCTGTCGTTTAATTTTTATCTCCACTAACACAAAGCACACCAACACTGTAGTAACTACACAAAGGTAAATCACCGAGGGTAGTTTCTTTATCATACCTGAAACTAGGCAAAGGGAGCCAGCCCGGCAACAGCCAAGCTGCATGGCTAAAACCGCCATCCAAATCTGCATACAGTTGTGCCACCTTCTCATTGAGTTGACTTCTGATTTCCTTTCCATGTAAGCAATGGCTTGCTGTTAAAATGATGAGCTCAGAAAGAGCTTCAAACAAATCTAGAAGGGGAAAAGGTCATTCCCATTAATATTGCCAAAAATTCTTTTGAAAATGTTCTTTTCGTAAGAGATATAAAACTGTGAAGGAAAAGTAAGAAGGAAAACTTAACTCAAGGACCAACAAGGCCCTAGTCTTACCAGCAAAAAAAGCTTATAGACAGATGTGTGACTACCCCACTCAGCCAAACAGAGAGGTACTAAATGATGGGAAGAAAACAGCCCACCCCTGCCAGACAGCCAAAATCAATGCCACAGAGGCATCTCTAAACCTCACTCATGAGTCCTTCACCTTGAAAAGATAAAACAAAGATAAAAATGAATATGGTGTCTCAGTCCAAGGTCACAGTATAACAAAAGCAGCAAAAAGTCATTTAGTGCATATGAGGACAATAAAGAGATGCTCCCCAAGGAACAGAAGTCTAAAAACTGAAGAAGGGGTTATTTCCCAGGTCAAAAGTGGGAAGGAAGGTCAGGACTAAAACTGGAAGTCTTGACCAATATATATAAGAGAAAACTGTAACTAATCATTAGTTCATATAGCCCAACAGGGGGACAGATTTATCAGGCAGGCATCATCTGGACGACACTTAAGTCATAAAATTATCCAACCAATGCCATGTTCTTTAATTCCATGCTCACCAAATGAAATTCCAATTATCATCTGGCTTTCCAGTTAAATTTGCCAACAAAATGAAGTTTAGCAAATACTCTGATATTCATGGTACTAAAATTATGTCTCACTTGTATTCGCTAACTTAGCACTCTTGTATACACCAGCTTCTTGTAGGGTTAGAAATAGATCCCATCAACCTCAGGTGCATTTTTTAAATCAAGTTTTTGATTCTAAAACCTTCTCTAGAACTGAAGCCTGGACCCAGAACATGGTGACCTACACAGAGGTCTCATGGCCCCACTCATGTTGCCTCTTGCCATGAGTGTGACGATTGTCTCTGGAGGCCACACTGCCTACAGTCCAATATAAAGACCAGATGCCCAGAAACAACCAAACACTGAATACACTACATAATGCAAGATTGCTTATAATGCATTTTATTTCTATGGTTCTGCTCCTGTCATAAACTAAAGGGGGGGAATGGTTGGGGAGGGGGTGTGCATGGTGGAGGGGAATGAAGAGGGGAGATAGGACGACTGTAATGGCATAATTAATAAAATATATTTTTAAAAAATTACAAAAAAATAATGCATTTTAAAAGATTTCTACTGGAAAGGGCTGAAGTCAAACTTTTAGTAAAGGTAAAGTAAACCTATGTATTTAAATCTGCTTTTTTTAATAGAATAAAGCATTCCCATACAATATTAGATAAAATAAGGTATTATATATCATTAAGTCATTTAGACTTTTACTTGCCCATTGGGAGGGTAAAAAGAACTATTTTATTTATCTTAAAATGAAAGTTTTACATTATTTATTTAAAAGTTTTACATTATTTATTTAAAAATTGAATCATGAACCACTTTATTTTATTTGTAAAAATAAGCTGAATAATACACATGCCAATTAATCCATTTTAAGGTTTTGCTACTGAGCAGCAAAAATCACTTCCTCTCAGGTCTTTTTAATTCCATGATAATCATATCATGTTCTCCCCATTAAAGCTAGGATGGGTTTACATTGTTATAGTTTGTTTTTTACACATGTACACACATTCTTACATTTCTAGTTACAGAAAAGTAAAAATATTAGGACAAATACAAAATCAAAACATTTTACTTACTTCTTTCTCCACTTTCTCCCCAACTTTGAAAGTATTCCTTTGTTTCATTTTCAATTATAGAAACATGCTGTCTAAAGTGGGCTATGCTGAGGCCACTTTTTAACATTTTCTTCTGCTCCAAGAAAACCTTAAAAAAAATTAAAGGCATACAACATTAAAACACAATTTTGTTTTATCACAAGATCCAAGATCCAGGGGGGACTGGTGGTGGGAAAATGCAGACAACTATAATTGAACTACAATTAAAAAAAAAGACCTAGGATCCATTTTGGGCTCTGGTCGAGCAGCTCAGTTGGTTAGAGCGTCATCTCAATATGCCAAGGCTGCAGGTTTGATCCACAGTCAGGGCACATACAAGAACCAACCAATGAATGCATAAATAAGTGGAACAAGTCCATGTCTTTGTCTCTATAAAATAAATACAAATTTAAAAAAAATTCACCCTGGCTAATGTGGCTCAGTGGATTGAGCACTGGCCTGTGAACCAAAGGGTCACTGGTTCAATTCCTAGTCAGGGCAGATGCCTGGGTTGTAGGCTAGGTCCCCAGTAGAGGGCGCTCAAGAGGCAACCATACACTGATGTTTCTCTCCCTTTCTCCCTCCCTTCCTCTTTCTAAAAATAAATAAAGTCTATAAAAAATATAATTTTAAAAGATCCATTTAGGTTATAACTGTAACACTCAAAATAACCTCTAAAAATTGAAAATAAAAGTAGTACAAGGGTTTTTAAAAACTATCCTAGGTATGGGAAACTTAAAGCATTTCTGTATGTATCTGAAGTAATGCATAGAAGACACCTGTTACACAGGTCCTAAATAAATGATAAATTAGGAATCTCACTTCCTGGCTTCCTTCCTACACACCCTTTTCCCACTTCTGATTCTAGGGCTCCCTTTTCCTATTGGTATTTTCTACCCTTCCAACCCGACCCGGATGCCAGCACACTCTCCCAAAGGTCCATTATGTTTCAGTATTTTTTATGTTCTTTCACGTATTCTCCTGTTCTATTCCTGAAAAAATACCATTCCTCACTGACACGATCTTCCAGAGGTTTAATTAGAGGGTTTTCTTAAGGCTCTTTTGGCCTTAAGGAGAGCCATCATTTCCCCATAACCCTCCCATCCCCAGAAACAACACTCAATGTCAACTCTCTTAACTACTAGACACTAGGGTATTAGTGAGTGATACAGTCACAGCCAGAGCCCACACCAAGCAACTAGGCCAATTATCTGAATTTTGTTTTACATCAACTTGCAGTACTTTAATATTTTACTAGACAGGGAAAAGAAATCACACAAACTTCTAAAATCAAACATTTCTAGCTCAAAAGAGCTCTTATACTAGAATTTCAATGTCTCATGATTCTCAGATTTTTGAACCATGAAGGGAATAAACTGTTTCTACATTTTAGATAAATACTATTACACTACTAGCTATAGCTACTATAGTACAGGCTTATCTGTCTTGAAGATAACAGTGTCACCTACTGGATTAGGCACATCATACGCAACTCCCTTCCCAAACACAGGTGTGGTCAGCCGACTGTAGACATCTTCTGCGTTCAGGTCTTCATTTTTACTATTGAAAAGCAGGGCAGCGGCATCACTCCCCAGAAGATAAGTAAAGGTCTTGCCCACCATTGTAAAACTAAACACAGGTCCATACTAAAGAGAAAAAAGTACCCATATTGATGTTACCAAAAAAATATATAGCACTAAGACACTAATTTCTTCAATCACAAAATAACACATTATTGAAAATAAAAACATTCATAAACCTTAATGCAATTCATTCCCAGTCTTCGTCCAAATTTATAATTATGATCATCCTGTTACAAGTGAAATGTAAATAAAATTTTCTTTTCTACTTTTTTCACTGTTTATATTGAAAACATTTTTTATCTTATACACAGACATCGTAATGTTAATAATTAACTATTCTTTCATTATTAGACATGGGTGATTGTAGGGGACCGGTTTGTTTTAGTCTGGCAAATGTGACTCAGCTCTGTACAGAAAACCTACAGAAGCGAAGTGGTGGGCAGGAGCCAGACCTTCAAACCAAGTTTTCTCGTGGGAATCAGGCCTAGAAAATGCATACAGATTATTATGGCTTGCTCTTGCTAAAACTCCATCACCCTGGTCTAAAGCAACAGATGTATATTGTCTATCTTCAAGGTAATTTCCAATGCCTGTGTGAGCTCCCCCAAGGACAGAGCTAATGAGCTTATCGCCATCCCCCTCTGCACGTTATTTTTATTTCCTTGATTGTACCTAGAATGTAGACAATAATATTCTATGTAATAGATAATAAATCTTTCTATGATGTAAGTAAGACCTGAGGAAAACAATAAAAGCCTGTTAGGCAAGGGTCGGGCATTCGCCTCTTGAGGGAGTGGCCGAGGCACCATAGACACTCTCCCCTTGAGAGAGCAGCCGTGCCTGTTCCTGATTGTTGTCGCCTGTGCATTGATTCTCATCATAAGCCACAACAGGCGGACTCTGCTGGACAGGGTCTGCTACAGGTGATGTGTCAATTTTTTTACTTATTATATATAATTCTGCGAGGAATATCTGAGAATACAGATTTTCCTTCTCCTTGGTTAAAGATCACAAGATCCAAAGATAAATTTACAGGAGTAGCTAAAGGATATGACCTTCCCTACAGTGTTTGCTATGTGAAGACACCAGAACTTTATTTAGTTATGTTTTACCACTTTCTCACCAACAATGTGCTTCAGTTTCCCTCATCTATAAAATGGGAATAACAGCAAATACTTCACAGAACTGTTGTCAATGTTAAATAAATTAACCTTGACAAGGTTAAGGTTAATTTATTAATCTTAACAGATAATTTATTAACCTCTTTTTCTAACAGATATCTTAGAAAATATTATATAGAGTATATATAATATGTATGTATTACACACATATATATATTAAAAAGTATATATATATATATATATATATACACACACATTAGAGTGCCTTGGCCAGAATAAAATTATATGTTTTTCATTTATTATTATTATTATTATTACTAAAAGCATCAAATTGGAAATCAAACCATATGTAAATCCTAGCTTGGCCACCGGCTAGCAGAGAGCTTAAGAACAATCATATAACCTGTTTCTCAGTTTTATCACCTACATAATGAATATACCTGAAGATATTTGTTGGACTTCAATGAGATAATCTGTATAAAGCACTAAGTACTGATACAAAGTTAAGTGTTTTATAATTATTAATATAATAGGAAGAAAAGAGAATAGGATTATATAGCCATAAATAGGTGTGTGTTTGAAATTGGGAATGTGAGATAGTTCCCATTGATGGTTTTTAATTTCTTTTTAAGGTGGACACAAAGTTACCTGCTTTGATAGAAAAGTAGGAAGATTCAGAAATTTATAAAAATAAAGATTTGAATTAGTCACTGTGGAAAGTGGGAAAGTAAGCCAACCACAAAAACATAACAGGATTGTTGAGCAGTGTTCAAAAGTCATTTAACGTGGGCAGGCAATCACGAAATTAGGAAGGAATTAATCTGGTGCAAGGAAGGAGAAAATGACTAACAGGCTCCCTTCAAGGTTGGGATTTTACCAGATAAAGATAATGAAAAGATCTGGGGCCCAGGATAATAAAGCACTGGCAAGAGTATAACTCCAATGATGAACCATGGTCCCAAAGTGGAAAAAGAAGGAAAGTAAAGAAAGAAGGATGATCGACCAGGATAAAGTAAATGGAACAATGGACAGGAAGATCTACTGTGGTCAACAAATGGCTAGAGCGGAAGGAGTTGCATAGGCAACTCCAGGAAAGGAAGTTGCAGTCTAAGAACAGGATCTCTACATTCATATTAGGAAGGTAAAATAATTAGAAATGATGACAAGTTCCAAGTGGGAGCGGGGAGTAAATGGCTGAAATGGTAGGAGACAGCTCACTGGAAAGGAGCGCAAAGATCTGAGCAGCCATAGTGTGGTGTGGGTCATTCAAGTGGAACTGAAGTTATAGAAGATGTATAGTGCAGGTTAGAAAATTCCACAGATGCACGGGTAAGAAAAAGAAGGGTCAATTAGTATTAATCTAAACTATGACTGATCAGTGAATACAAAATTTGTAACAGTGGTTTTTAAACCATAGTTGCTAGAACTGTAAGTTTCCTCAGTGGTATCTCAGAGATCACCCCCAGGATGTCAGAGAAATTAAGAGGGCCCCTCCAGCTCTTAAACAGGAGTGGCTCCAATTCTCCTATCCCTGGAATAAAATTACTATCACAATTTTTTCTTAGTGTTCTATCATGTAAAAGTTTCAAAAGCACTAGTTTCTTTTTCTCTAATATTTGGAAGACTTACCTTCTCATATGCATTTTCTAGGAATTCAATTGGACTTTTCCCAAATGCTATGGCATGCCCAAGGAATGGAATTGGAGAGAAAATGTATGGTGGGCTTTTCTGCAAGAGAAAACAAAAACTTTTAGTTCACGTTTTATTTTGAGAGAGAAATCCAACTCTGATTGGTATGGCTCAGTTGGTTGGGCATCGGCCTGCAAAGCAAAGGTCGCAGGTTCAATTCCCAGTGGAGGCACATACCTGCATTGCCAGTATGGAGCATGTATGAGAGGCAACCAATCAATGTTTCTCTCTTACACTGATGTTTCTTTCTCTCCCACTCTTTCTCCCTCCCATCCCCTCTCTAAGAATAAAAAATATCTTTTAAAAAAGAGAAAGAAATCCCATTCAGTTTCATGATCAAACAAATGAAATTTGCTATTAATATGAAAAATGTATCCAAAAATGAAGCTTCGAAGTAATAAAGAAAAGCCAAAATGCAAATATCTTAGGAGAGTATTTACTATAGAAAGAAGAGAAGCTCAAAACAAGGTATAAGATAAATGATGGGGCTCTCCCTCTCTTTCCCCCTCCCTTCTCTTTTTGAAAATAATTTTTTAAGAATAGAAAAAGACAAACAGCAACTTGAGGTACAGATATAAAGGATATGTTAAAGAAGTGGCATTTATCAGCAAACAGAACTCACTGCAAATGAACTACATTCACTGATTTTAAAGAGACAGCAGATCCACTCTAGCAGGAACTCTTGGGCATTCACTATGAAAGGTACTTTAGATGCCCCAGAATGAGACTTACAAATTACAACATTAAGTCTCCTGGAAATCAAACTTGCAATGACAAAAAAGCATAAGACTCCTCAGATCTCTGGTGGTCTCAAAATAGTAAGTGAGGTGGTCTCAAACTACCACTCACTCTTCAGATAACGATAATAGCAATCTTAAATACTAAAGCTACCTTTCTTTCCAAAGATAAACACCACTTCCTCAAAAATCCCACGTGAAGGAAAAACAATGATACTAACTGCCTGTTACGGTTCAAACTAGTTGTTGGCTGGTTAAGGATGCATTTATCAAATACAGAAGTATGAAGCCAGTGGTCAATAAAGCCACTAAATTTGAGAAACTGCTTTTATTAGGATCATAGGAAGGTCCCTACAGCACTCCAGTCAATCTCACTCTACCAAACTGAACACATCCCTCCTTATAAATCGCCATCAAGGGCAATACCACAACCCGCAGGACACTGAACCACACAAGGTGACGGCCACCAGGGCTACAGCCGCCAAAAGCATCGCCACCTGGGCCCCCACCAGGCCCGCAATACGCCTATGGCGCCTAGTCTAACTACTTAGAGCACTCAGGGCCACACTATTAGAACCACCAGTTCCCCGGCTAGCAGAACTACTGTGACCACAAAAGTGGCAAGCACGACCCCAGCCAGAACGAGACACGCGGCCACCACCTGAATAAGGACCGTCACCACCAAGGCCCACATCACCAAGGTGAGTGGTGGCTACCCCCAGACCTCTATACGCCTACCGCCAACGCCCAGGCGAGCACAGCAGCAGTCGCCGCCCGCGCTAGCCCTTCCGCCTCGAGTCCCCATGTACCCCTCCCAGAATCCCGGGAATGCACGTACCGCCCCCGCCGGCAGAGGGGCAAGGTGGCCGATGGCAAGGCGGAGCAGGTAGACCAGGCTGAGCGTGAAGGCGCAGGAAATCAGTAGCATGGATAGCAGGCTGCCGCTTGTCACCTGCTCCATCGCCTGCCCCAGCACTGACCCTCCCGCCTGCAGTAAGCCCAGCAACGCCATCCTGGCCGCCGCTTCGGTCTGCCTGAGATGCTGGAGGCCGAGGTCGCCACCGGTCCTCCGAACAGACCGAGAGGGAGAAGCCGGCAGATGGGTATTCGGTGGCGGCCCCGGCCCCCAGGTCACCCACTAAACTCAGTCCCACCCTCTACTCCCGGCAGCCGCGCGCACCACCCTGTGCGTCACAGAAAGGGGCAGAGTCATCCGCTGGGCACGCCCCTAGTGGGACTTATAACGCCTAGGTCTCCTTACGCCTGGATTGAGGATAATGTCCTCATTAGGTACAGAAGCACCTGTACCTATGGCATAGGTGGTACAGAGACGGAGTAAAGGGTGAGTTTAAGAAGACATCATCCTCTGGGGAATCGTGGACCACTGGAGCCTGTGTGCCCTGGATGAGGAGTGTCAGGGCACGACTCTGGAACAGCTTGGCGGAGGGATTTCAGAACGAGCATTGCGATTTTCCAGCCAGGCGTGGCGCGCTCTCTGATTGCACCCGGGGAGTGTGAGGTGATCTCAGTCTATGGAGCGTCAGCGGGGCGGGTGGCTTTAGCACCGCCCCCTGCCTGGGCCGTACGACCGTCCGCCGCACCTGACCCCGCTCCAGAGTCAACGCTTGGGGACTCAGAGAGAAAATCCCCAATAGATTCCTAAAGGAAGATTATGAAAGACGCCCACACAAGTGCAGGACAATGAGGTCAGCCCCCAAACCCCAATTAAAACAAGTCCGACAGGTATCAATGTCAGGCCATAAAGATAGCAAATCTTGGTTATTGGCTCTGCTGGGTTATACAGAAACAAGCTTTCCAAAATAAATTTTTATGTTATAGGCTGTCGTGACCTATTTGTGCCAACAGTTCCTATTTATTCTGGCCATTTAGTGGGAGTTCAATCGTGCCGCCAGATCGCATCCGCTCCTGTGGTTTCAAATAAGCATGCGTATGAAGTGCCTACCCACCCCGCCCCCCGCCAGTTCAAACCCCCTTGTAGATTACTATCACGAGCTCACAGCCAGATGTATTGATTTACTCAGTCAACATTGAGAGCTAGGTATTGTGCTAGGTAATGGGGATACAGCAGCGAATGAGAAAACTGCAAGGTTCTCAGGGAAGGAGCAGGAATAGCCAACTGCCTGCTGGACACCCTCTGCCGGGGATCTAATATTCGTCTCATGGTCGGTAAATTCAAAACTACACCCATTATCTCTTTCCAGGCTCTGTCAACTTTCCTCTCCTGTAATGCCTGTAGGAAGGGCATCACTGCTTACCTCGTTGCTTCATGCCTCCCATCTATCTAATCAGTCACCAGATGCTGTCACACTCATTTAAACGTTTCTTCATGTCCTCTTGCTGCTCCACTATCGTACCTAGGCTCCATGTCCATGCTTGTCTTTGATCTGTCCTCCGCACTGCTACTATTTCTTGTATCACTAAAGCTATGTTGGAATAATCTCCATAGGTTTCCTCTGTTACAAGATGAACTTGAAGATAGGAGTAATTATTTTTATACTGTTTATCTTAATACCTACCATGGCTGGCCTCAAAAACGTGGTCCATGGCCCTTTGGGAATCCCCAGGACCCTTTCAGTCATCTGCAAAGTCAGAGCTCTTTTTAAAAATACCATTACTTGCTTTTTGACTACTGTAAAATCAATAGTAAGTAAAACTTCTGGGGCCTTAGCGCAAATCAAGGGCAATGGCACCAAACTCTATTGGTCATTATTCTTCACTACCATGCACTTGAGTAGGGGGGAAAATTGCCTGTTTCACTTAAAATTGGGAACATTCATTTTACTAAACATTCATTTATTTAGGAAATTGGGAACATTCGTTTATTGAGTATATGTATTTTTGCTTGAAGGAACAACTGACAAACTTATGGTCATTCAGATCTGGGTATTTAACAGACATTTCTTGAAAAAGAAGTCAGCCCTTTCTTTCAAGGAAAACCACCAGCAGTATTTCTTGTCAGGATAAAATTAAATCTTTCAAATAGAAGTTATTTTGGAAAACATATATCTACGACTGTGACCTTAACAGCTTACTAATTCTTGAGGCTTTTCTACAGAAGAAAATTTAGTAACAAATAGATTTTATACAATAAAATGTGTCAAGATATTGAATCTTTGCACAATTCAGGGAACCAGTATTTTCAAATAACTAATACACAGTGTTATAAAATCAAGCATGTGTGAAACATCCATTTAAAGTATAAGTTAGACTAATAGATTTTCACAGAATACAGAAAGTTCATTAATGTAGTTTCTGATTGTGCATTGCAATGACTACTGCTGTGAAGAGGAATACCTATAATTATCTGAAAATTTATCAAAATATTTCTCACTTTTCCAACTATACATCTGTGTGAAGCTATGTCTCCTTAATATACTTCAACCAACACAATATAGATAGCACAATAAATTGAACACAAAAGCACATATGAGAACTCAAATGTCTTCCACTAAGCCAAGCATTAAAGAGATTTGCAAAAGTCTAAAACAATGCCACCCTTCTATCTTGTTTTGTTTTTTTTAATATATTTCATTGACTATGCTATTACAGTTGTCCCATTTTCCCCCTTCACTCCCCTCCACCCTGCACACCCCCTCCCACCCACATTCCCCCCCTTTAATTCATGTCCATGGGTCGTACATATGAGTTATTTGGCTTCCACATTTCCATTACTGTTCTTGCCGTCCCCCTGTCTATTTTCTACCTACCATCTATGCTACTTATTCTCTGTACCTTTTACCCCTCTCCTCCTCCCATTCCCCTGTTGCTAACCCTCCATGTGATCTGCATTTCTGTGGTTCAGTTCCAGTCTAGTTGTTTGCTTAGTTTGCTTTTGTTTTTGTTTTAGGTGCGGTTGTTAATAACTGTGAGTTTGCTCTCATTTTACTGTTCATATTTTTTATCTTCCTTTTCTTAGATAAATTCCTTTAACATTTCATATAATAAGGGCTTGGTGATGATGCACTCCTTGAACTTGACCTTATCTGGGAAGCACTTTATTTGCCCTTCCATTCTAAATGAAAGCTTTCCTGAATAGAGCAATCTTGGGTGTAGGGCTCTGCCTTTCATGACTTGGAATACTTCTTTCCAGCCCCTTCTTGCTTATAAGGTCTCTTTTGAGAAATCAGCTGACATTCTAATGGGAACTCCTTTGTAGGTAACTGTCTCCTTCTCTCTTGGTGCTTCTAAGATTCTCTCCTTCATTTTAATCTTGGGTAATGTAATTATGATGTGCCTTGGTATGTTCCTCCTTGGGTCCAACTTCTTTGGGACTCTCTGAGCTTCTTAGACTTCCTGGACATCCATTCCCTTTGCCAGATTGGGGAAGTTCTCCTTTATTATTTGTTCAAATACCTTTTCCACTCGTTACTCTTCCTCTTAACCTTCTGGTAATCCTATAATTCAGACGTTGGAATGTTTAAAGATGTCCTGGAGATTCCTAAGCCTCTCCTCATTTTTTTGAATTCTTGTTTCTTCATTCTTTTCTGGTTGGATGTTTCTTTCTTCCTTCTGGTCCACTCCACTGATTGGAGGCCCAGTTTTCTTTCCATCACTAATGGTTCCCTGTACATTTCCCTTTATTTCACTTAGTGTAGCCTTCATTTTCATCTAATTTGTGACCAAATTCAACCAATCCTCTGAGCATCCTGATTACCAGTGTTTTGAACTGTGCATCTCATATGTTGGCTGTCTTTGTTGCTTAGTTGTATTTTTTCTGGAGCTTTCATCTATTCTTTCATTTGGGCCATTTTTTTGTCTTGATGTTCTTGTTACTGTAGTGAGGGGAGGAGTCTTAAGTGTTCATGAGGGCAGGGAGACCCATGTAGCTTTGTTATGATGCTGTGTGTGGGGAAGGAGTCCAAGAGGGAACACCAGTGCTTGCTTAGCTCTCTGCCAGTTTTCAGTCCCTTCTGCCGCTTCCCACAAGCAAGTGGGCCCTTCCAATGCTGATTCCCTGGGGGGTGGGCTTGTACATGTTCTAGGACCCTGTGGGTGGTCTTTCCTACGAACTCTCCTGTGAGGCTGGGAGTCTCTCCCGGCACCTCAACTCCCCCAGATGTTTTCAGTCAGTGGTTTGAGGCTTTATTTCCCCATGCTGGAGCTCTGGGTTGCGCTGTCTGTATTGCTCCCTAGTTGTTCCTCCTGGTTTATCTGCGCTCTAATGTGGGACCACCCACTCCACCAACCACTGCCACCTCAGTCTTACCAGCCACCTGCAGCCTTGTGCGCCCTGCTCCAATCCCAGGCCTGGTCCACCAGCCACGGCCTTGCTGCGAGTCCTCTCCAAGTGCCCATCTGCACCTCTCCTACCGGTCTGTATGAGTGTGTCTTCTTTAACCTCTTGGTTCTTGGACTTCCATACAGTTCAATTTTCTGTCAGTTCTTGTTATTTTTCATTTTTAAATTGTTGTCCTTTTTTTGGTTGTGCGAGGAGGCACAGTGTGTCTACCTATGCCTCCATCTTGGCCGGAAGTATGGTTTTATTTTTTATAAAACACATTATATATGTTAACATGTCATTGCTATTTAAATAAACATTTTCATTTCTCCAATTAATTTGTAATACTGCCAATACATAGATATAAGTATCGAAATACTCAAGATATAGATTAACATTTTTTATTAAGGTTTTTATTTTTTAAAGATTTTATGTATTCATTTTTAGAGAGAGGGAAAAGGAGGGAGGAAGAGGGAGAGAGAAACGTGATCTGTGAGAGAAACTGTGATCAGTTGCCTCTCTCACATCCCCAACCATGGACCTGGTGGGCAATGCAGACATGTGCCCTGACTGGGAATCAAACAGGCAACCTTCCCGTCTGCAGGCCCAGTGCTCAATCCACTGAGCCACACCCACCAGAGCAATAATAATAATTACGATTTTAATAATAATTTAATTACTTTTAATAATTTGTAAGATTGAGTCTTGAAACAAAAAGCTTGAAAGTTGTTGACCTAAAATATGATTTATAAGGGTCTTAATTTTTGTTCTCTATGGAACCAAGTTTCATGCCAATAGTACAACCTTACTGTGAAATCATTTTAAGTCAAAACCCTCTTATTCATTAAAACTTCAAGTAGTTTCCATTACTTTATAACCATAGCTTCTATTATTTTAATATAAGTTTTCCAAGGTGTTGTTTTGGAAGGACATCATAAAATTTAA